CCCGTAGGTTTCAGCTCATCACTAGAATGGCTCATTTACAATGATAGGTAACCCAGTTGTTAAAAATCTTTAATGGTCTAGGAAGGATAAATTCCATCACTTGGCTGAACAGAGAAAATATGCAGAGAAGTGACTGGGTTTTCATAAATCACTAGTGCATGGTGGTACAATCGAGTTAGGACTTAAAATTCAGGTCAGGAGATAGGTATTCTCATAATCCACCAAGGGAAGGTAATTTATTCTGTTTATATCTTTTTACTGCAAGCCAAGGGAAAAAAAAACTCCACAATGATTTTGCATTTTAAATATTAGTTCAGAGCTGCAGCCTTCCTTGGACTTTATTTATTTATATCTCTGGGAGGAAAAAAAAAAAGAGGCGAGAATCTTTAGCTGTTTGGCAGCAGGGCTGCATGAGTGATACGGGCTGGAATCGATATAGTTTAACTGCCACATCTTATTAAGAATTACAGCTCTGTGCAAGGCAGGATAAATAAAATGCACAGATTCTGGGCTTTAAAGGATTGCACCTAGGCCAGCTGTCTTAGAACTGTCCTTGTTTTGTTAAAGATGTGGCCCCCTGCTTTGCAGGCCTCTGAAGTCATCTGACAGATTAGAGGGAGAAATGGGAGGATGAAAGTAAAGAGGTAGGTGGGGAGGTATATAGGTGGGGTGGGTGGAGCGATAGATAGATAATAATGAAAGAGCAGAAACAAAGAAAGAATGGCCATACTGGATCAGACCAAAGGTCCATCTAGTCCAGTATCCTGTCTTCCGACAGTGGCCAATGTCAGGTGCCCCAGAGGGAATGAACAGAACAGGGAATCATCAAGCGATCCATCCCCTGTTGCTCATTCCCAGTGTCTGGCAAACAGAGGCTAGAGACACCATCCCTGCCCAGGACCGGCTCCAGGGTTTTTGCTGCCCCAAGCTGCGCAAACCCCCCCCCCCCCAATAAATAAATAAATAAATAAATAAATAAGCCACGATCGCGATCTGCGGCGGCAATTCGATGGGAGGTCCTTCGCTCTGAGCAGGAGTGAGGGACCGTCCGCCGAATTGCCGCCGAATAGCTGGACGTGCTGCCCTTCTCCGGAGTGGCTGCCCCAAGCACCTTGCTTGGCAAGCTGGTGTCTGGAGCCGGCCCTGTCCCTACCCATCCTGGCTAATAGCCATTGATGGACCAAAACTAAACTGGATGACGACAGTCATAATCAGATGTCTGGTTTGTGCCCTGACGCTCCAGCTCCAGAATAGTGTGGATGGGAAATGGTGACCCTGGCTCTGCATTGCAGCAAAGCTCAGGTCTCCCCTCCTTGATCTGGGGGTCTCTTTTCAGGTCAGGATGGGGGACCCCGGAGAGTCTTCTGGGCCCTGCTGAGCCCAGGAGACTTTCCACTGATTTCAGTGGGCACTGGTCAGGCCCTAAGGCAAATCACCAGTGTGGGGTTCCTGGGAGAAAGTCAGACCATTATACAGCGGGGAGAAGGCCCCAGCGAAGCCATGGCCTTCCTGGGGTAGCTCGCAGCCATTCTCTCACAGTGGTCTGCGGTTGCCATGTTGGGCCCAGGCTAGGAGCCAGACAAGCTGGGTGAGGCCGTATCTTTTACTGGACCAACTGCTGTTGGTGAGAGATGCGAGCCCAAGAAAAGGTCACCTCACCCAGCGGCTGCCTCGATTATCTCACAGGAGCTAGTTCCGGAGTGAGGGGCAGCTGGGCTGTCCTGAAGAGAAGGAACCTTTAACAGCACTGGCTACGCAAGAACCACATGCCCTCAAACGTTGGGCAAGGGAGGGTCAGGGATGGTTGCTGGCTACTGCAAGTTAGCTACACAGCAACACAAGGCCTTCTGCTCCAACTGCCTCATCACCGCCTTCCCTGCCTGTACCCCAGACCAACGAGCAGAGCACAACACCAGCACCACTCGCTTTCTCCAGCAATGACGGGGCTGCTGAATATACCCTCTTCCCCCACACCCACAGAGCGGGAGCTGCACTTTCTTGTGGCAATCACACGGCAGTATGGGCCATCACCAGCCCTGGGCTCCCTGCCGGGGGAGGTATCCAACAGCAGAAACCCCTGCTCCAGCCCGGAGAAGGTATTTTTCACCCACACTGAAAGGGAGCATGAACCATGTAAAAACGCCTGTCTCTGCACCTTTCCCCCTGTCCCTTCTCCTTGGCAGAATGAGTTTAGCTCAGGGGGTTAACAAACAACTGCAAGAAAGATCCAGGAACACCAACAAGATAAGCGCTGGTTCTGGGGCTTTCACCTCTTGTTTTCCAGGTACCCTCATCTTCTCCCGCCATCTTGGGCTGAGACGCTAACATCATCAGCCTTTGGAAAGAGCACCAGCCTTTCCAATACATCTGCACTGATGATGCACCTATGACATGCCGCGACCGTTAGTTTGAAATCCACGTGTCTCACAGCCCCCATGCTACCCCCGTAAGCCTCACTCCTAACACCGCATGGACAGCGTTTGCTTCTTAGCAGAGAGAGGCCTTGTTTGCATGGGGGTGATTAAAAAAAAATCAGGGCAATTATTTCCAGAATTGTAAAGTAACGTCGAAAGTAAAAGAGGGGGGGGGGGTGTCTCTGGCTGTGTGTCTAGCTGTGCATCTGTGTCAGTTGCGTTTGTACAGGCGTGTAAAGAAATTATGTGTATAAAACAATCGAATGCCATCCTTCAGCTATTCATGCTGAGACACTGAGGGCTGTGTCTCTCTCTCACACCCACACTTTTAAACCAATCGTTGTAGACAGTTTTATTTTAACAAAAATGATTACCTAGCTAGTTATAGCGATAGAGCTAATCTGTTAGCCTCAGCGCTAAGCAGTTACAGATCCCATAGCTATTATT